TATACAATAATAATATAACAATTAAAATATGTTTACAATATATTTATAATACAAATTTAATATATTAAATTAAATTGCATTATAATTATATATATTGTTAAGACTTATAACTATAAAATAATAATATATAAATTATATAATAATAATATGAAAATTGTATTATTAAATTTTTTAAGTTTCAGCTAAGTATATAAATTTTATTATGTTAATTCAGCTTTTTGCTTAAAAGTACAAGAGTATAAGAATAACCAATTACATATTGCTGAAGTTTGTAGAATATCTTCCTTTTCTATTTTACCAATCTCAGTATATTTTAGGAGTTTATCATGCATGGCTTGCTCATCTATTTTATCTTGACTTTTTCTATTACTGTTTAAAAAGAAGCATTCTAATAGAGCTTTAATATTTTTCTTAATTCTACTACTGCTAACTCTATTGCCTAATTTTTGGTTGCCTTTTAATGTCTATCTTTTACATAGCAAGAATCCAATATCTAATATACTAAAAATCAGTAATTCAGTTAGTAGATGAGATGGCTCTAATATTTATTAGATCTTCATATCTACCTTGGCATTATAACTAAAACATCTGATCAATTTAAATATTAAAAAATGTTAAATAAGATACAAAATGGCATTATATTTTTAGAGTTAGTATTTACTATTGTATTTTTCTTTATATTGATCTGTATTAATAAATCTTTGGATTTTCAAATAATTAGAATTATTTTATTATATTTGATTAGTATAATATAGTTACATACCTTTGACCTTATTATTATTTTCAACTAGAATACATAAGTTAAGAATACTAACTTAGATTTGGATTCAATAATTGATCAACAAGTCATATAATACTTACTAATCTTTACACTTATAAGAACTGTCCATATAGACTATAAAATAGTATAATCTGATTTTTTTGGCTGTGGCTGATGAGGTGAAATATTCCACATATATTGGTGTAAAATTATTTTATTCTCTAATATGAGGCAGTTGATATACATGAATATATCCGCTATATTTATCTTCTATAAGCCAACTCCAAAAAAACAGTTTTAAAATTCTTTTAATTGTTTTGATTATGGTCTTTGATTTTTTATTTTTGTTGACATTTTTCTTGTTATCATTTCGATCTGGCTCTATATTTGCCAACCTTGTTCCAGACAAGCCTTTAATAGCCTCACTTTTATCACTTTCTGTCTTCAAATTTAATCCGATTCGTAGATATCATTTTATCGCATATGTTATCTTAGAATGATAATAATGTATATTAGAGTATTGGTTAAAAAATAGAGGTGTTAAACAAGCCTAAATGAAGAAAAGGATGATATTTATACTGATTTACAATTTCATACCAGATTTAACTTGTAAATATAGATAGAATTGTTTAGTCTTGTTAACAGAAATATATATTATCCCTTAAATTGTAACACAGACAAATTTGGCTATGTTTTTATTAAAAAGTTTAATTTTTTTAATAAAAACTTATATATTAATTTTAGCTATATATTTT